AGCACTTTCAATAATTTTGCCCAACTTCAAAACAACATAACCTGTTATAGACTATCTTAAACTATTGATTGGACACTAGCTAGTAACTAGTGTAATGTGTCTGGTCCTTTGTTTGGTGCAGACTGAGTTCTATCGGTCACTAGTTACTAAATAGTGTGCAGTCAAAAGTATCCAATACAGCCCTACAGGAGGTCAATTGCGAGCCCGAATAGCTCAGTAGTAACGTCTCTGACTGCAGCACTGGGTGATGCGAGTTCGAATCTCAGAAGGGAAATGAGTTGCTTCAAGGTTGCAGATACACCCTGCTGACGAACGTCAATCAGCACGAGACCTAGGTCCAAGGCTTCCTGCCGATTGCCACCAACCATCTAAGATCAACTATCTATAATATGAAATTTGAAAAGTATTTAAAGTATTCATTTTATAAGCTTACACTTTTTATAAATAGCTTTTGAATTTCTTTGTGAATTCAATTCTAAAGACAGTCGTAAGTGGCACAGCGGTTATGACGCTCGCCTACCATGCACATGGTCCACGATTCGATCTCCGGCCGACACACACCTGATATCAATGGTCGGCCTGCTAAATTTGGGCTACTGATATCACATGCTGAAAATTCCATAGTTGTACCAACAATACTCTGTAGAATCAAGCTATGATGAAAAAATTTTATGATGCCATTTAATTAGTCAGTAGTTTAACCGTTTGACAAAAATTTGTTTTTTGACTTACCAGTTAATCAGCATCTTGCTTTCTTTTCAATCACTATGAAACAGACGAATTCCAAAAGCTGGTCAATTAGCTGATAACATAATAGAGAGCATTAAAGGAGCTGGAAGTCGTAGTGTACTCGATAAACTTGTTTCACATGGTTCAGCTATCCTGCTTACAGGAATGAGACACTTGATTGGTCAGAAATCAGTGAGTATCTTTCCCTCTCTTTCTCTTCATTATTTTCATTCACTTGTTTCTAAACTTTTTTCAAATGTGTTATTATTTGGAGATAACCATACACTTAATTTAGTGTCGACTGAGTGGCCAATGGGAAACACCCAGTGATTGCTCAATCATACGCCTACCAATGCATTTACGGAAATTTCGTCTTATACAAAAGTTTGGTAAAAGTAGGCTTGTTCATTACCTAATCTACGATTAGTATTGTGCGGGATGAGTTACCAAATGCTTTGTTTGTAGTATTTGTCTCTGTATTTATATATTTAGTAAATAGCATTCTATTGCTGTGTATCCGTCGATGGTCCAGTCGTAGAATGCTCGCCAACCACGCACGTGGTCTGAGGTTCGATCCCCGTCCCTTTGGTAAAAAGGTTAGTTTGGGGGTAAGAGTAGCAATCTCACCTCGCTAAAAACACTTCTGCTGCTGAAACTTCAAAGCTCAAACTTGGAGTCCTTTGTTTCACTCGGAACGCAAAGGAATCAATAATTTTTTTTAAGATCTGACGATCACTTTATTTTGACACTTGAAGTAATATAAATTTGTAAACACTGGGGTGAAATCCAATTACTTCTGGGTTTTAACTTTGGTAACTTCCATTCACTGTCAACAACAATCATTTGTCTTCATCCTCGACCTGGCTTCCCATTAGAAGTCCAGGACATCCATCCTGTAGTCAAGTGGATTAAATTTTAGATGTTAGATTTTTGGGGATTTGATTGATTTCAAGAGAAACTATTGACAACCAAGGGCCGCGCGACACTTGTGTTCTAGTTTGGCATTCTGCAGTTGCGCGCGTCTACAATACCAGAGTCAGTCGCGTTCCTACAAACTTGACATCTCAAAGTCAAATGGTTTTACCTGGAGTGCGTAGACTGATGAGCCACAGCGGTTATGACTCTCACCGATCATGCACATGGTCCACGATTCGATCCCCTACCGACGCACACCTGATATCTATGGTCGGCCTGCAAAATTTGGGCTACTGATATCACATGCTGAAAATTCCATACCTGTACCAAAAAATACGGTGTGCAATCAAGCTGTAATCAAAAATAAAAAAATAATTAGGCACTATGCAGATAAGATCTAGTATAACTCTGCTTAACAGTACATTTTACTACAGTTATCGGGAAGGCCTTATAGTATGTGATAAATAACTATCACAACACCGCTAATTTTCTAAAAATCATTAAGCAAATGGGTAATATGAAAAATTAAAAATAATAGTAAAACCTGGGACCCTGATCTGGATGAAAAATGAGTGAAATGGTTGAATGCATAGCCCACTCTTCTTAGTTGTGAAGCGGTATAAGCTCTTATGAACTGAGCACAAATTAAGAAGGCTCGTTTGGTGTTCATCATTTTGCATCATTTCTGATACTGAGGTGATGTCTAACCCACACATCAAAGGCTGCATGTAGGGCACAACAGTTCCCTTTGTCCTACTTTACATACACGAGATATAGCCACCTAAAGTTGATGAGATAGAAAGATGCGAAGGTTTTGATTATAATTGCCCTCATTTGATTACTTACATTAGGTGAAGTAGCATAGTAGCTAATAACGGGATTAGGTGAAGAATATCATGTAAAAGAAGGTTAAGTCGTCCGAATGTAATTATAAAGCATCATTGTATGAAGTAGGTGGGACATATGCTACACGTAGTGAACTTATGTCTTCGTGGAGAAGTAGTTTTGACTAAAGTAACGACATGCTTTGAATGAGTCAGGGGTAAGCAGATCGAGACGTGACATCAGTCGATTAGATCATTGACTGGTAGTATGAACTACAAAATTAAATGTCAATTACCGAACTATGGTCATCAGGAAACTAAGAATCGACGTAGCTGAAAATCGTTCACAGTGAGGCAGATATATTCTTTCCTTATCATCAGCAAATTATGAAAAGTTTCACTAATCTTCATTTAAATATCCTTTGTCTTTCCCATGTTTTTTCAAGTATTGGATTTGTAGGGATTTTTGTTTGATTGCATGGAGGATTTCATCATGAGTTGATATCAGTTAGAGAACCACTGGAAAACCTGCGAAACAGCTGTCCAGTACTCCCAGGTTCTCCAGTGGTTCTCTAACTGATGTCAGCTCATGATGAAATCCTCCATGCAATTTCCCATGTCTGTCCACCATTATTTTTCGTTTGTTTTTTAAATTGAGGTGAGATGGGAGAGGATAACTTGAGCTGATGCATTTCTGTGCTAATTTCTACGTTGGCCTGTCATTCATTAAATTAACTAAAGGAGAGATAATATCTAAGCTTGTATATATCCTTATAAGAGTTAGTTTTTCTGCACTAAAAGTGAAGATTGGCATTCAAACATGCAAAATAAAAGTAATTGTGTGGCTGTAACTTCAATTTTAGTCCAAATTTACCTTGTAAATTGAGTATGTAATCTTTTGAGTATAACTTTTAATTGTTATGATTATTTCATCTGTTCACAGTATCTTCCATTCACTCGCATTGTATCTCAACTAATGGAAAATAAAAGCGGTTCTGAATTTGAGGACTATCGTTATTTTGATCCTAAATTGTACAGGCGTCAGGAAACGTAAGTTGATTAGAACTCATTGGTTGGATTTTTGTTTTTTTAAATCTACACAAAATGAGTTAAGCCGTTTCTAGAATTTTAAAAGTTTGCACGTCTGTAGTCATCTTAGCCAAATTTTTGCATATACTTCAATTCGATAGCATTTCTTTCCGTCTTACAACGTGACCGTAAAATCCAGTCACCCAAGATTGAAAACATGAGAAGGCTGTTTATCGTAGATATATTTGGATATATTTAGGGCTACCACAGACAACGTAGTGTTGAAGACGAAAGGTAACTGTGTAGATAGGTTTGTGAATCTTTGATTTTTAAGATATCTGATACGTGTGTTACAAAGGCTGAATTTTCATTTAACTCAGGAAGCTTTGCTACATTAAGATTGGTTTATAAGAAAGCTATTGGTGGTTAGATCAACACTTTATCAATTTATAACGTCTTCAACTTTTGGCGCATGGTGGTTTTGATCTGACTCAATATTTGTAATAATAAAAAGTGTAATCTGTAATAAGGATTAGTCAACACCCATACACACATGGACTTGGCAATGATTCACACTTGTTGTTTATGTTGTGACAGTTCACCTTGGCTTCCCAAACCCTTGTATCTGTGGGGGGTAGGGGGACGTTGAACTCGCTATCAAGGTGTTAAAAGTTAAATACCCAAACCAATGGGTCACAATATCATTATAGTATGTCACCTTCAAAGTCATGAAAATGCTGTTAATAGTGATTTGATTTTTCCTCCTGTCATATTCTAGTACCGCATCCCAGTATCATACTTATTTACTTCTTCAATTAATGCTGTAACACTTCAGTACAGAGCTCTCCTTTTTTTGTGTGTCTTTATTTATCATTGAATATTTTCCCTGTGCGTCGGTGGCACAGTGGTTAGGACTCTCGCCGACCATGCACATGGTCCGGGGTTCGATCCCCTGCCGGCGCAACCCGATATCTATGGTCAGCCTGAATTTGAGCTACCGATATCCGTGCTGAAAATTCCATACTTGTACTGAAAATACGGTGTGGAATCAAGCCGTAAATCAAAAAAAAAAAAAAATTAAGAAAATATCCGGATTTTGTCCTAATTTATGTTTAACATTAGTGCAAATCCTTATATCATCTCCAGTTATTATTTTTTGCTGAGTACTTTGTAGTGGCTAATCGGCGTCCGTGAGAATCCGTGTTGTGTATGATTAAACAGTCCACCATGAATAAAAACGCCACTTTCTTCATTAGTCTCGGGGATAAATGGGATAACACTTCTCTGTGGTGGTCATGTAAACATATATCCTTGATTGTATGTTTTGATAATCAGACATCTTGTCATGAGATCTTTAACACTCTGATTACTAGATAGGTCCATATCAATATTTCTGACGTACTTTTTCGTTCTTCGTGATGGTATATTTTTATTAGTTCTGTTATACATCACAGTATGTTATCCTAATGAAAATTTAGAAACTTCAGTATTTCAGATACACCATGGAAATTTAGTACGATGTACAAGGTTCACAAATGAAGGAATAATAACGCCAATTATTATTATTATTATTGTTCCCTTGGGTTCCTAGTGGAACATAGGGCTTCAACTGCACGTCTCCACTTGCTTCTGTCTTCTGCTGTAATTTTCACCTGCATCCATGTTAGTCCATACTGTTTCAACTCCTCTTCACACGATCTCCTCCATGTCACCCTTGGACGTCCCACTCGTCGCTTCCCTTTCGGGTTCCACTCGAGAGCCTGACGCGCGATGTCACCCAACGGCCTCCTCAGCGAGTGTCCAATCCATCTCCACTTTCTCCTGCATATTTGTTGGGCGATTGGTTCCTGTTTTGTTTGTTCCCATAGCTTCTTGTTTGTGATTCTTTCCGGCCATCTAATCTTCAGTATGGAACGAAGACAGTTGTTGATGAAGGTGTGCAACAGGCTGTTGGAAATATTCTTTGTGACCCGCCAAGTTTCTGATCCGTATAGAAGAACTGACTTGACGTTTGTATTGAAAATCCGAATTTTGTTGTTGATGTTGAGTGACGAAGATTTCCAGATTGGTTTCAGGTTGATGAATGTGTTTCTCGCCTTCCCGATTCTCGATTTGACATCCTCGTCCGTTCCTCCTGTGGTTGAGACAATGCTCCCTAAATAAGTGAATGAAGTAACCTCTTTCAAATCCCTCCCGTTGATGGTGATTGGCGCTGGATGTTGCTGATGCTGTTGTTGGTTGGTTATTTTCATAACCTCCGTTTTGTCTATGTTCACCTGGAGTCCTGTCTTTGCTGCTTCTTCGACCAGTTTGTCGGTTTTTGCTTGTAAGTCTTCGATTTTGTGTGACATCAAACATAAATCATCCGCGAAATCCAGGTCTTCTAGGTTCTTCACGTCGGTCCAGGATATCCCTGTCTTCTCGTTTCCCACTGTCTGACGCATAATCCAGTCCACCACAATTAGGAATATCATTGGTGATAATAAGCACCCTTGTCTGACTCCTGTGTTTACTCCAAACGCTTCGCTGAGTTTTCCGTTGTGGATCACTTGACATGTGCCGTTGTCGTACAGCTGTTGAATAAGGTTGATGAATATTTGGGGTACGCCGTAGTACTTGAGTAGTTTCCAAATTACTTCGCGGTCAACGCTGTCGAAGGCCTTCTCAAAGTCTATAAAGTTGAGGTAGAGGTTTGATTGCCATTCCATGCTTTGTTCGATGATGATGCGTAGAGTTGCAATTTGGTCAGAACATGATTTGCCTTTCCTGAATCCAGCTTGTTCTGGTCGGAATTCTGCATCCAGTGCGTCCTTTATTCTCTCCAGGATGATGCGACTCAGAATTTTATTTGGCGTCGACAGGAGCATGATTCCTCGCCAGTTCTTGCAGAGTCCTAAGTCGCCCTTCTTTGATAGTTTTACTTTTCCTCCAGTCAGTAGGCGCCTTTCTCTCCTTCCAGACCTTTTGCAATAATGGAGTCAGCATATCTGCTGTCGTCTCTGGGTCCGCTTTCAGTGCTTCAGGGGGTATTCCATCTGGTCCAGCTGCTTTTCCAGCTTTCAGAAGCTTGATTGCATTCAAGACTTCAGCTTTCGTTGGAGGATTGGTGTAAACTTGCAGTTGTGTACGCGCTGTTGTTGATATTTCTGGACGGGTTGCAGGTGGTGGTCGGTTCAAGAGTCCTTTGAAGTGGTCCGCCCATTGTTTAATCTGTCTTTCTTCCTTGGTAATTGGGTTCCCTTGGCTGTCTTTTATAGGTTTCACTTGTGTTGGTCTCTTCCCGGATAGAGACTTGGTTATCTGATATAGTGTCCTCAGGTCCCTTTTGCCTGCTGCCTTCTCAGCTTCAGTGGCCAGATTGTCGTAGAATTGTCTTTTGTCCTTCCTAGCACTCTTCTTCACTTCTTTGTCCAGTGCTGTGTAAGTTGAGCTCAGCGTCTTTTTCTCTTGTCCGTCTTTGCATTGAATCATTTTCTCTTTCACCATTCTCCTCTCCTCTATTAGCTTCCAAGTGTCCGTTGAGAGCCATTCCTTGTCTTGTCTCTTCTTTCTTCCTAAAACCGTTGAACACGTTTCGTTGAAAATCACCTTCAGAGAGTTCCAATGGTCTTCCACGCATGATTCCTCAGTGATGCCACGTAGTGTTTCCTGCTTTGCTCTAACAGTTGCAGTGAAAGTGTCCTTTGTGGTTGTGTCCTTCAGTTTTTGAGTGTTGAACTTGCATTGTGGCCTATCCCCAGGTATCCTCGAGGCTTTTAGCTTCACCTTGAAAGTCCCTTGTACTAGATAGTGGTCTGAACCCACATCTGCTCCTCTCCTCGATCTTGTGTCCAGTAGGCTCCGTCTCCACTTCCTTGAGATTGAAATGAAATCTATCTGGTTTTTGGTGTGTCTATCTGGTGAAATCCATGTCGCCTTGTGTATATCCTTGTGTTTGAACACACTGCCATCAATCACCAAATCATTGAAGGCACAGAAGTCTGAGAAGAGTTCACCATTGTCGTTCATTTCACCGAGGGCCTCACGACCCATGGTGAGTTCTCTTCCTGTATTGTCTCATCCCGATTTTGCATTCATATCACCCATCAGGATTCTGATATCACCGTTTGGGACGTTGTCCACTACTGTTTGTAGTTGTCTGTAGAAATCCTCCTTCTTCTCTTGTTCTGAGACGTTTATAGGCGCATAGCATTGAATGATTGTAACCTTCCTTCCTATTGAGTTGAACCTAGCTGTCATTATCCTGGAGGAGATTGGTTCCCACTGCATGAGAGCTTTGATTGCTGTTGGTGACATCATGATGGCCACTCCCTCGGTGTGCTCGTGGCTGTCCTCTGTGTGACCGAAATAGATTACTGTCTCTCCAGTTGATTGCTGGCACCTTCCACATCCGTTCCATCTACTCTCGCAGATTCCCAACACTTCTATTGCATACCTTCTCATTTCTCCGGCTACCTGGGCTGCCTTTCCAGCTTCGTATATTGTACGAACATTCCACGTCCCCATCCTTATTTTTGCTTTCATCGAAAGGAGGTACATGGTCTGACTGGCTTCCCGAAGGCTTTCACCAGCCTGCGTCATTTCACTTCCCCGATTCCAGCGGAAAATAAGGTTATTGTTTGTATTTTTAGAATTTTTAATATATTTGTGCGTTGAAGTTTCTGTAGCAATTTGGTTAAGTTTCGGGGGTGGAGTTGCTAGCACCACGCCCCGACCCTCCCTCTTTATCCGGGCTTGGCACCGGCTAGTAATCTAGGCGAGGTTAATAACGCCAATATTGCATATATATTTACTGCTCAGACTAGATTAGTCTGTGTTTCAGTCTGATAGTCGCCGCTTACTTAGATATATGTGGTTCCTTTGATTTATCCATCCTCTTATTTAAATTCATGTATTTTTTTGTCTGTTTACTGTATCTTGAACTTATAATTAAGTACATTTCTGTATCATAACAATGCACGTTCCTCCGTTAAATCATTTAACCCAATTCAATAAGCCACAAACTCCCCTGGATATTGTAATCTATAGTAAATGTGAAAGCTGTTAAGCCATTATTTATTTATTTATTTATTCACACTAGGATTTCTGCTCTTCAACTTATTTCATATCCCTCTTCTTTTTTCTAACTTTCCAGTAATATGCCTCGGGTTAAACAACCTTTTGATGAAGCTTTTGTTTTTGTCATCGGTGGTGGCAGCTATGTAGAATATCAAAATCTGTTAGACTGGGTTAAATCAACTAGTAATACTACGTCTATTTCATCTTCTGCATCCTCAACATCTTTGGCAACTTCTGTGAACGGAGTGAATAATCGGGCTAATCAAGGAGCACACGATGCATCAAGTTCTCTTAATCTTCGAGGAACAACCTACTCGAAACACATTACTTACGGCTGTACTGATCTAGTTAGTCCATCGGATTTTCTTAATGAGGTAGGAATTTTTAGCATTATTTTTTGTTTGTGTTCATATGGACTTTTCCTCTACTGAAGTATGTTCTAATCTTCTAAATGTTTTGCTTTAAGTTAACAACTTTTAGGAGCTCTGTGAACGAAACAGTTGCTACTGATATGTTTCATGATCTTGTTTACCAGTTTACAATTATTTTCTCATATGAGTTTGACCACGGATTGATATCAGTTAGAGAACCACTGAAAACCAGCAGGGAGCACTGGACAGCTGTTTCATCTTAGTTTGGGAATCATCGGTAGTACGCACCCACTGGAGTTCGAACACAGGACCTTCCGGTTACAAGGCAAGCTCGTATACCATTCAGCCACTGGGACCCGATTCAATGGTCCATGAATTCTAACTTCTACCAATTCGTGATTTAGTGCAACCACCAACCAATATCATCGGTGGGTACTCCATTCTCACACTTGACTTGATGGACCTCACCGGTCATAACTTCTCACTAGAACTCCAGGAAACTGTTCTGTGACACGTCACTAGCGAGCGTACTGCCGATGATTCCAAAACTAGGATGAAACAGCTGCCCAGTACTCCCTGCTGGTTTTCGATCGTTCTCTAACTGATATCAATCTGTAGTCAAACTCATATAAATACAAATCTAATCCTTACAAACCAAACTCTTGAAAATTATTTCTTCGTCTTCCGTTTTCTGTGGTTGTCTTATTCTGAAGTTTCTTCTTCCCAAGAAGCATTACTGTTGATAGAATCCCCATTGTTGATTAGTTTTCAGTCAGCTACCCACCCCTTACACCTTCAGTGTTCTTCTGCCTTCCTCAGTAGTAATGTTTGGCTATCCAAATGAAACTTATTGCTGTATTATCTATCTGCGAAAGTTAACATATATTCCATACTACTTAAAATTATATTTACGGAATTATTCAAAAACCTCTTTTAGTACCAGATCCTACTGTCTCTTTCAAATTCATTTAGGATACTCTCTTGTAGAATGCTGCCTTAAAAGTTCTCAGAAATGATGGAGAAGGTTTGTATCTTAGGTCAATGTTTTTCACTGTTGTCATGTAAGCTAGTGGACTAGTCACGAAGTTTTCGTTATCTTTGTAGACAACATTTTCAGCGCTCAACTCAAAATGACTTCACAAATAAGGCGTAATGACATCAAAAAGACTAGAGTTAGTTTCGCCAGGCACACTAAACAAATTCGGGCAGGCTTACTGGGAAAACACTGAATGTCTGCTCTCATTGGTTACATTCTGTTTGTCAGCGGTGTGATATAGTAGAGTTCAACTTATTTCTTTGCTTCATCCTATATTATTATTATTCCCTTGCCTTCCAAATGGAACATAGGACTTCAACAACACATCTCCACTTTGTTCTATTGTCCTCTGTCCCCTTCATTTGGGTCCACGATTGCCCATAATCTCTCATCTCCTCCTCTCACGATCTCCTCCATGTCACCCTTGGACGACCCACTTGTCGCTTTCTATTGGGATGCTACTTGAGCGATGGCCTGCATTGCGCGCGATGTCATTCGGTGGCCTCCTCAAGGTATGCCCAATCTATCTCCATTTTCTTCTACATATTTGTTGAGTAATCGGCTCTTGGTTGGTTTGTTCCCAGCCAGAAATTCTTGTTGCTAATTCCTTCTTGCCGGCTTTGTGATCTTCAGTAGGGAGCCAGCGTAGGCAGCTGTTGATAAAAGTCTGTAACTTGTTGGAAATACTTTTCGTGACACGCAGTGCAAGTTCTTTACCCATATAGAAGAATTGACTGACTTTAAGTTTGTGTTGAAAATCCGAATCTCGTACTCTATGCTGGTTGAGTACAGAAGATTTCCTGACTTGTTTTAGGTCGATGAAGGCGTTATCTTGCCTTTCCGATTTCGGCTGGCTTACACATCTTCATCCGTTTCGGCTGCCTGTGGTTAAAACCATGCTTTCTAGATAAGTGAAGGAAGTCACCTCTGTCATATTTCTCCCGTTGATGGTGGTTAGTGGTGGTTGTAGTTGCTGTTGTTTGTTGGTTATCTTCATCACCTCCGTCTTTTCTGTGTACACCTGGATTCCTGTCTTCGCTGTCGGTCTCTTTTGCCAGTTTTCAGGTTTCCGCCTGCAAGTGTTCGAGCTTGTGTGATATTAAACATAAATCATCTTCTAGTGTCTTTTTATCGGTTAGCCCAACGTATTCCTGTCTTCTCAATCCGTGTGCGCAGTCTGACGCATAATCCAGTCCACCGCAATTAGGAACATCATCGGTATTAATAGGCAACCATCCTTGTCATCCTAATGTCGATGAAATTGAAGTAGAGAGAGGTTTGACCGCCGTTTTATGCTTTGTTCGATGACGATGCGTAGAGTTGCAATTCTATCAGCACATGACTTGCCTTTCCTGAATCCAGCTTGTTGCGGTGGGGCGGGGTTCTGCATCCAGTGCACCTTTTAATTCCTCCAGGTTGACGCGACTTTACTTGGCATGGACAGGAGCATGATTCTGTGCCAGTTCTTGCAAAGGCGTAAGCCACCCTTCTTTTGTGACTTGCCAAGATAGCCAGCATTTC